TTTAGCCACTAGGCTATCATGTGGGGCTCATGAATTGCCACTTTTCAAGCTATTGTGGACTGCCCCTATAAAATCCCTGTGAATATCCTGTTGGGGCTGCACTCCAGAAAGGGGTACTGGTCCTGGTTGCCTGCTCTCAACCAAGAACCCAAGCTCAGACATGCCAAGCTTGAGTAAGCCACCCTTGTGCATTTGCATCGACTTCAGACTCCTGGTGATTTCTGGGGAGTCTCAAAATCTGGGCACAACAAGGGCAGAGGGATGGAGGTCAAAGAAGGAGCCCCCAAAAAAGGGAAGAGGGGCAGGCCAAGTAGAAGAGAGCATGCTGAGTGAGCTTCGGGGAAGATGGGGGAAAAAGGGGATATAGAAAAAGTGGAGAGAATTTACAAACTTTTCTTATATCTTTTAATATTTAATAATTTATTTGAAAGGTAGAATAACAGAAAGGGAGAAAGAGAGAAGGGACGGGAAGGGGGAAGGGAAGGAAGGAGAGGAGAGGAGAAAAGAAGAAAGATATATTTCATCTGCTAGTTCATTCCCAAGATGATGCGCAAATAGCCAGGGCTTGGCCAGACTGAAGCTAAGAAACTCCATCTAGTCTTCATGTGAGTGAAGACTATCTGCCCTGGGGGTGGGGTGTGGGAGTAGGATGGGGTGGGAACAGACTTTCTGTCTGGAGGGAAAGTGGCTAATTCCCGTTCCATGGCTTCCACAGAAAGCATGATTCTGGTGTGGACATTTCTGCTGCTTTGGCTGCTAGGTCAGACTGGTTTTAACCTAGATATACAGTTCAGGATTCCTGGTGGCTGCAGCCAGTACTGCAGAGTGATGAGCAGGACAGGAGACTGGCCTTCTAGGACAGGAGATGTGATCAGAACTCCTTGTCTTGGTTCTGCCTAGCAAGACTGAGACTATATAGGCTGCACCCTCTCCTATCCCTCTTTTCTTGAACCTTGAGAAGGAAAACATAGAAATAAACTCCTAGGAAACAAATGTGTTTCTCAGAGGTGAATATTTAGTCTAGCAGTTAAGAAATCCATGTCCTACAGTGTAATTCTTGGGTTCAGTTTCCAGCTCCAGCTCCCAACTTCAGCCTGTGCACACCCTGATTGGATTCCTGTTGTCCAAGTAGGAGACCTGTATTGGGTTCTGGGCTCCTGGCTCTAGTCCCAACCCATCCTGGAAGTTGTAGGCATTTGAGAACTGAATCAGCAAATGGGAGCTCTGTCTTTCTGCCTCTCAGATAAAGGAAAAAAAAATTTACAATGTGTATCTCAAATGGGTCAACTTCCAAAGCACAAGATTCTTACTCTTCCATAGCCAACTGGTCCCCAAGCCCATTAGCTGTTGCCTTGGGATATTCACATTTCTCCCACAGAAAGACAGATCTAATGAGCATCATCCACTTAGTGTCATGAGCCCCAGTCACCACACTGGCATGAAGATAGAGGAGGATGAGAAGGAGGATTGAGGGAGTACCTGCAGGGAAGCTCTTTGCTTTTGTGCTCCAAAAGCAAGGGCTCTCCTAGTCTCTGACTCTGTATTGCATCATTCTGTTAGTTTCAGGTTTCATCTTAGCAGGGCTTATGACTTCTACATGGTATGAATTTTCTAGCAGGGACATTCAGAATAGTCTGAGAAAGGGTAGCCTCAAGTAGTCCATGTGTCTGAATATTACACATGGATATATAGAGAGTTCAAGTGTATAGTAAAAATATAAAAGCTTAGTTGGCCAGTGCAATGGCCCAACTAGCTAATTCTTTCCTGCAAGTGCTAGCATCCCATGTGGGCACTGGTTTATGTCCTGGCTGCTCTACTTCCCATCCAGTTCCCTGCTTTTAGCCTGGGAAAGCAGATGGAATGACCCAAAGCCTTGGGACTCTGTTCTTTAAACTGCAACAGTATAATCACCAAGGGAAAGTGCTTATTTAAGATGGAAAAAGAACTAAATGGTAGGGCTTGGTGCTCTTTGTGAATTCAGGCATCCGTTGGGAGTCTTCTTGGGAATATACTTCTTGTGCACATAATCCCTTTGTTATACTTTATATAATACACAGTACAGTCATATGACCTGAGGAAGAATAACTCAATAGTGTTTCTTTGCGATGAGAACCAGTACCATCTTTGTATGTAGAACTTAATATTCTTACTTCAAAATTCTGGGTTTTTTTTTTTTGTTGTTGTTGTTGTTGTTGTTCTTTTTTTTCAGTCTTAAAGAGAGTGAAAGTGATCCTTGCTTGTATATATTAGATAAACTGAAATACAGTTAAGGACAAGTAGTTATGCTCCTAAGCCCATACAGAAATGTTAGGAGCAAATTACACCTTCTCATATTCGAGTGACTTCCATAGGGTAAGCACTTGACTAAAGTTGACTCATTTAACTCTCACAACAAGCCTACAAGATGTGTACCCTTTCCCTCATTTGAAAGCTGAGCAAGCTGAGTCCCAGATGGTTAGCAGATGGTAGTGGCAGAATCCTCTTCAAAAGCTGGAGTGTTTCCATGTGTTTTGGGCTGCTTCTTGGAGGAGTGGTGCACAATATGTTTAGGATAAATTTACCCTTATTTCTGTTCCATCATTTCTAAAACAGGAATCACCATTTAGGATAATCTACTTTTTCAATATTCTCAGGTTTGTTGGCTGAATAGTAGTGTTGTTTTCATGAGAAAATATGGATTCTATAGTGTGAGCAATGGAAAGGGTTTACCGTTCTGCTGGTTCTCACCTTTTACAAGCCCAAGGACCCGTGTCAGTATCCCTGCCTATGAAACATGTTTTAGGCCACACTGTAAACTTTTGGCCATTTTTATTGATTGATTGCATGTGAATTTACTTGTCACTCAAGACCTGATTTTTTTTTTTTGATTTTTAAAAACCTTAATAGTTCTAAAAATAAAGTTTAATGTATAAAAAATGCTAAACTGCCTCAAGACCTAATTTAAATGGTACTGTTATCTGGGTAAAAGTATGGTTGTTGCATATCCCCTAAAGCCCTTGTGTTACAGTTTGGTCTTGTATTAGTGATAAGAAGCTAGGAACTTAATCCAGTATTTATGTCTGAAAATTGAGCTTTTGAGAAATGATTAAATTGGCAAGGCTTTTAAGGCAGAATTAACTTAACAAGTTGGCATGTGATACGTTGCCTTGCCATGATGGTATCATGAATTATTAAACCGGTAGGGCTTCCCTGATCCTGGGCGCTCAACCTCCGAAAATGTGAGCCAAAATAAGCCTTTTTCTTCCATAAGCAGGTTGGTTCGGATATTTTGCTGTAGTAACCAAAAACAAACACAAATGGTATTATTGCTACAAAATAGTGAAACTTTGAATGTTCCATTAGTTCATCCCATTTGCCTGTGTTGTGAGCAAATCTGTGTGTTTCATTAGGATTTTGGAAATACTTGTGTTTATAGTATTCAGGCTGTAGCTTACAGCAACATACTTAGTGAGAGGACCTCTCTGCCATTTGAGTTTCTACCTTCCTTGCAGCTGCCTTTCTGCCCTGCCACTCTCTGGTAGTAAAGATCCAAACATGGTTATCTGCCTCTTAGGCAAGGATGTGGGAGGAAGATTCTTGTTGGAGCCCAAGATCTGTGAAAAGGTAGTGAGAGGTTATTGAATGTAAAACTATACACTCAGGGCCCAGCCGCGTGGCCTAGCGACTAAAGTCCTCGCCTTGAACGCACCAGCATCCCATGTGGGTGCCAGTTCTAATCCCGGCAGCTCTACCTCCCATCCAGCTCCCTGCCTATGGCCTGGGAAAGAAGTTGAGGACGGTCCAAAGCTTTGGGACCCTGCACCCACATGGGAGACCTGGAGGAATCCTGGCTTTGTATGGGCGCAGCACCAGCCTTTGCACTCATTTGGGGAATAAATCATCAGATGGAAGATCTTCCTTTCTGTTTTTCCTCCTCTCTGTATATCTGACTTTGCAGTAAAAATGAAAGAAATCTTCAAAAAAAAAAACCCCTACACATTCAAAAGCATCACTGAGTGTACAGCTGACCATTGAGATGGATCTGTATTACTGCTGAGTATCAAAATCAACAGGACATACACACACATTCTATCTCATACACATATGCACACATACACACAGGGTATTCTAGAAATTAATAGAAAATGCATATCATGAAAAATAGGTGTGGACTGTAAATTTTTTAACACTAAAATAAGCATCTTTTACCTCTGTCTTCCATGAACTTTTTGAAGTGCCTGTGTATGTGTGTGTGTGTGCGCGCGTGTGTGTACTTTATCATCAGCAATTAACTCATGTGATCAAGGAAGCTGACCCCCCCCCCCCCCCCCCAAATCTGCATTGAGAGTCACCATACAGGAGAACCAGGAAGTCACATTCCATTTTGAGTCCAAGTGCCATCTACTGGAGATTTGAAGAATTCATGCTTGGTTCAGCCTTGGCTTCTGTCAGGCCATCAAGTTGGAGGCAGCCCACACTCATATTATAACCGGCAGTCTGCGTGACTCAAAGTCATCAATAAAACATTTATGTCATTAAACAGCCCCTCACAAAAACACCCACAATAATGTTTAACCAAATATCAGGATAGCCTATGGCCCAGCCAAGTTAAGATGCAAAATTCACTGTCCCAAGATTTTCTTAAAAAAGATTTATTTTATTTAATTTTAAAAGGAAGAGTTGTAGCAAAAAAGAAAGGTCTTCCATTTGTTGGCTCATTCTATAAGTGGCCATAACAGCTGAGGCTGGGCCAGCATGAAACTAGGAGTCTGGAACTCCATCTGGGTTTCCCACATGGATATCAGGGGCTCAAGCATTTGAGTCATCTTTTACTGCTGTCTCAGGCATGTTAGAAGGGAGCTGGTCTGAAGGTGGAGCAGCTGAGGCTTAGTATGGGATGTCAGCATTGCAGGTAGTGGCTTACTCCACTGTGCCACAATGCCAGCCATGTCACAGAGTCTTACATGGTGATTGAGCCTCACTGCTTCGCTGTTTCCTAGGATGTTGTCTTTATTTTGTAGTTCCAGAAAATCAGCATGTCAGGGTGTGGAGGAGTGCCAGCCATGGGAAACTGATTTGTGTTGACCAAGCTCATGGGAGTCAGCATATGTTCTAAGAATAGGTAAGTGTTTCTGGGAATAAGTCTATACAGGTTCAAGGTGATGGGGAATCTGAATCATGGGGAAGAGATTTGGTCCTCTTGGGATCAGAGTAAAGGAAGGAAGAGAATGAGCGTTCAGGCATTCTCATCCAGGCTGAATTAAAAATTGATGACCCACCTTATACACAGTTAAGTTTGCATCTGTTACAGCCAGTACAGAAAGCTCACCAGATTCATTATCTTTTTTCTCCTCTTTATTTGTTTGAAATGTAGATTTATACACATAAACACACAGATCTTCCCTCTGCTGGCTCATTCTCCAAATGGCTGCCAAGACTGAAGCTATGCTGGTCCGAAGCCAGGCACCAGGAGTTTCTTCTCAGTCTTCCACATGGGTACAGGGGCCTAAGCACCTCAGCCATCTTCTGCTGCTTTCCCAGGATCACTAATAAGGAGTTGTTCTGAGTGGAACAGCTGGAATTCAAACTCGGTGGCACAGGCTGCAGCTTTACCCACTATACCACAGCACTGGTCCATTGGAATCTTTTTTGAAAAAAATTGGTAAAATATTTAGATTATTATTCTTTGGAATTCCTGTTTTACCCTCATGGGCTACTGTTCTTCCAAGGAACATATTTTGATGTGGCACTGATTGTTGCAGATCCTCACAATGTTGTGTGCAGGTAGTGAGGGCATGTAAGCTGATTTTGTAGGGTACGTCAAAGAGCATTTTGAGTGTTAATCTGTCGCATAGTGGAACTGCTACATCAAGCCTATTATTTCATGGATATTGTAGCTTATGATAAGGTTACTCTTGATTTAAAGAAAACATTGTGTAGATAATAATGCAGGTAGGACATAGATAAGTAGGGGAAATTCATGAAGATAAAAGAAACTGATGTTTGGGATATAGTGAGGTAAGCAATCATGTTCCCAGGGTTTCATACCTCTAATGCAGATTGCGTATTGGTTTTTGTTGTTGTCATTGGGTAAATCCCCTATTTCCTAATAAAAGGCACTATAATTTTCCTTGTAACTAAAATAGATGTTTACTTTTACATGCCTGGATGATCTCTAGCTTTTATGAGGAACATTCCTTTTCAAAAATAAAGTCTTGCCACCCTTGAAAAACATTTTCTAGGTGCACATTTGACCTATTGCTTGTCTCATAGTCTGCTTGCAGTGGCAAACTTGCTATTAGGGAAAATGTGTGTGTTTACGAAGCCATCAGTTGGGGTGGAGTTAGAGCTGTGTGATTTGCCAGCATGAACACTCAGATAAGGTACCTTAGCTCTTACTTTTCTGAAATAGGATTTTAAAAAACCTAAAACTTATTTGTTTGGAACAGTTACAGAGGGGCAGAGAGAGAGAGGGAGGGAAAGAAGAGGGAGGGAGAGAGAGAGAGAATGAATCTTATGATCAGGACTGGGCCAGCTGTAGCTGGTAGCCAGAAGCTTCTTCCAGGTCTCTCAGGTGGATAGCAGAAGCCCAAGGCCTCGGGCCGTATTCTGTTGCCTTTCCCAGGCCATTATCAGGGAGCTGGATTGGAAAGGAAGCAGTTAGGACACTAACTAGGGGTTCATTTAGGATGCTGGCATTGTGGGCAGTTGCCTTACCTGTAATGCCACATCAGCCCTGGGATTCTTATGGATCACATCCACCTTTCTTTTCTTTAATTCTAGTCCAACACAGCAAAGGGTCGTTCTATACAGGAAAACCAATCACTCTGATTATAGAGGAGAAATGCAGTTTCATTTTTGCTAAGCTCCTCTGGAGTTCCTGCTTCTGCTCTTGCATTGGTTTGTTTCTCTGGACTTAGATTTTGACTTGATTATTGCTTCTACTCCATGTCAACCAACACAATCTGAGAAAAGGAAAAAAAAAAAAGCAAAAAAGCAAGCAGAGAACTTTCTTTATCATCCATAAAGGAATGAAAACCTGGTGTCTTGTAAATGACTCCAACCTAGATTTCCAGAAAAGGGCACTGGTTCGTGTTTGTACTCTTTTCTACACAATTGTCGTGTTTGAGCCCAGTGCTTGTATTCCATTATGTAAAATAGGCACAGTCCAGGCATTTATGGACTGTGTACTCTGTTCCTGAAACTGTAGTCATGGGATATATTAAGACACATGAGACACAGTCTTGCTTCCCAAGTACTTTATAGAGAAGCAGAGATAAACATGTGATAGAAATAACAACCCTGGCAGGAGTGTGGATTGATAAGCATAAGGGATGGAGGAGGTTGCTTTACCTGATGGATCCAGGAAGGCTTCCAGGGGTAAGGTACATCTGAGCAGGACCATGAGGATGAGCAGGGATTTGCCAACACGTTAGGGAAGGGGTGAGAGACTGAGCAGAGAGACTGGCTTGGGACAGTGCACAAATGGAGAACGCATACTGCAGACAGGGGAGGGCTTGAGTGGTAAGAAATGCTAAATAGTTTTTCTGAATTTAGTGAGAAAAATTAGAATAAAATGAACTAGTCATGTTAAAAGTAAACTTTTTAGTTTTAAAAACTTAGCAATTAAAAAAATTTTGTCACAATACCTTCATTTATAAATAGTTATATAGATACACATATGTACTGTGTTTTTTCTTGAAAACAGAAAACATCTGTTTGTCACAGAGTGAGGGATTTATGACAGTGGTCATAACATAGGAAAAGAAGATCATATTACTGTATATGTGGAATGAAGCAAAACTTATCCACACAGTCTTTTTCTTTTTTTTTATTATATTTTTGACAATCTTTACATAGTTAATTAGGGTAGAAAGGTTCAAGGGCTATAGGAAAGTGGGTAACACTATTATTTCCATATTATTTCCTTCATGTTTAAAGGGGAATATTAAGGGAGAAGGCCCACCCAGTTTCCCACTCATCTCAAGTCCCGGATGTAGGGCATGCTCCGAGGTTCTTGCTCAAGAAGTTTTGATAGTTCACCAGTTATGAATCGCTGCCAATCTCGCCACTCCAAGCATGATGAGGTCGTTGAAGAATCCACTGATTGACACAGTCCCTCATAGAGTCTCCATTTGCCCAGTATTTGGCTGCCAACATATAGCTGAGATGGTTGATTGACTTTTTCCGTGTTCTGTCTTTTCTTGGTTAGGGTTCTGAGTCCAGCATTTCGATTGGGGAGATCTCCAAAGAAACTTTGTCTGAGGTGATCCCAGACCAGATTCTTGTGTGTTCTAGCAAGCACAGAGCCCATCACAGTCCATAGCCCCGATCAGCTGGTGGTTGCAATCCTCCTCCTCCAAAAAACATACCAAGGATGTCCATGGGGGAGCTGAATCCACCACAAGCTTTACCCTTCTTATTTGCCTGCTTTCCTCCTTTGTCATATAATTCCATCTTCTTTGCATCAGAAAAAACTTTGTAAGCTTGAGAAATCTGAACTTTTCTCCTTCATTTGGATTCTTATCAGAGTGGTACTTCAAGGCCAGTTTCCTGTAAGCCTCTTTCAATTCTTCCTGGGTGGCACTGGGTTCGACCTCCCCAAACATAATAAGTGGTTTCATTCACCATTTGCTACAGCTGGTGAGTGGGCTGAGGCCAGTGTGGCAGGAGCAGGAAGCAGTGCCAACTGTGCACAGCCCTGGCAGCTGTTGCTCCACCATTGCTCACGAAGCATTCGAGAAAGTTCTGCATGATTCCTTATCTTTGCTATTGTGAACTGAGCTGCTATAAACATGGGAATTTAGATATATCTTTCATATGCTGATTTCAATTCCTTTGCATGTGTTTATTATCCTAAAAATTAATCTAACCAATCCTTTTTTTTTTCATAGTAACATGGTGCAGGTTAACCTAATGGCAGGGAATGGTGGGAACTAATTAACCTCAACTTGAAAGATATTTGGTATATTGAGCTATTTTGGCCTTTGAGCTCAGCAGGTGACTGTGGGTCTGGGCTACTTGCATGTCTCTCTTGAGGATTGTTGACCAAAAAGATAGCTGCTTGATCATTTTCCTGAATTAAACAGGAAAATACAGATTTTCATATTCTCTGCACTGACAGTGATTTCTTTTTATCTTTTGACAGATTGGAAAGGATGGAACTGAGGAATATTTCAGTGGAGGAAAGTTTGCTTGCAAGTAAAGTGAAACCAACATAAATATAACATAAAGAAGGCATTTATTGAGATCTCCAACATCACTGGGAATTTATTAGTTAATTCTGCAGATTTCTATCATTGAAATTTTTGTGTAAATCTAGCCAAGAGTTTGGATTATGGACATACCAGTCTGGGTACATGTCCTAATGCTCACCTTCTGATATTTACTCGTATTTGCTTTGCCTTAGACTTCTAATCTGTAAGTTTGCAGTGATGTTATTGGGGAGATTTAATGAGGTGGCATTTTCAAAATGTTTAGCATAATACATTTAAGGAAGTAAAAGCTGCTCACAACCAGGAATATCTGCCCTCCTTAAGTGTACTGAAACCAGGCACCGCCAAGGGATGGATCCGAGGGTAAACATGGAATGGCATGAGCTAAGGCTGACACAGGCGTCAGGACCTCCCATGCCATTCCAAGCAGGGCAAGGCAGAGCAAGTGAAGGGGTTATGATAAGTAGCTAATCAGTGTCATGGCACAGAGGACAACCTTGGGGTGCCAAGGCCCTGGAATAGCAACTGAAGAACTTGGACATGATTTACAAGCCTGGGTCACGACCAGCAGGAAGAGCCAGATGCCAACTGGCAATGACTAAGCCAAGGCAGATTTAGTGTTCCAGGATGGAGCTGAGTAAAATCAGGGAGTGAAGGTAAAAAAGCAACCCTATGGATTACAGAGAAAGCTGAATATAGGGATGCAGGCCAGTCATTACGGGGCTGAAGAAGTGTGATTGACTTAAGAGATAAGTTGTTTTTACATCCTTTATGATATTTATAGGAAGTTAAAAATGAGTGGGTGAATATGGAAATCAAGAGAAGTCCTTTCTGTTAAAAATTCTTCTTGTTAAAAAATTATTAATCATTTTTATTTTAGTTGAAAGGAAGATAAAGATATAGAGATAGTCTTCCATCTGCTGCTTCAATACCAAAGTGCTTACAGCAGTCAGAGGTTGGTCAGGCTGAAGTCAGAAGCCTGTGATTCAATCTAGGTCTCAAGAGGGTGACAGGGACCCAAGCACCTGAACCACCATCTGCTACTTCTCCAAGATATACATTAGCAAGAAGCTGGATTAGAAGCAGAGGAGCTGGGACTTGACACTGCCACAATGGGGTGTGGGTATCCCAAGAGGTAGTCCAGCCATGGAGCCAATCACCCACCCTGAAGACTTGTTTTCAGTTTCCTTCCACCATTCAAAAATATTTCAGTGACCCGCATCCTTATGCTGACTTTGTAGCATCAAGCGTGTGAGAGTTAGCCTTTGCTTACTTTGCAATATGAGTCTTTTAATACAGAAATCTATATTCAACCTGGAGTGGCAGATTGGGTGGAAGGGATTTCAGACATGGGCCATTAAGATGGTGGAACTGGAAGATTGAACAAAAAGGGTCGGGGTCAGGGGCGACAGGGAGAAATTCTGAGTCCATGACATTTCAGGGAACCACAGTGGGGTCACACTCTACCACTGTGGCAAGCCCCGCAAGTCAGAATCAAGGACTTCTACGTCAGGGCATTGTTCCAGCTGCAGAGATTCATTTAAAGCATGATTATAAAACATGGTAAGTCTCCTTCTTGGTGGGTCCAGGACTCCTTGGGGTAGCACAGATGGTCCAGTGCTGATAAAGGTGACGAGTTCTCTATCTGATTAGGGACAAGAAGAAACAGAATTCTAGGAAGGACTTGTTAAATTCCTTTGACTGCCAGCATTCACTTCAAAGGTCGAGGAGTGAAGAGTCACTCCTACACCCTAACTCATGACTGGGAGTTGGACCGCTGCCATGAAGACCATGTATCTGATGTGCCTTTGGGGAAAGTAGGACGTGGATTCAGGCAGAGAGTAGACGAGAGCCCTGACTTCCTCACGTCATCATCTTCTTGCTGTGCCAGCTCCATACTCCTGCCAAACAAGACTCTACCAGAGTCCAGGGGCAACTCTGCTGTCAGTCAATTCTGATGTGTACCGTCATTTGAAAAACAAAGCACTCATGTCCTCAGCACCACCTTCTACCAATGAATCCGTTCTTCTATATTTGAATCTCAAAGCAGTCCTTTTCTCCCTCATCTTAGGTGTGCAAGCTATAGTAGGGCATTGTAGATCATCACCTAGAAGGGCTGCTCCAAGCAGGTGGAAGATAGTGTAAGAGGTCTGTCTGTCTCCAGGGAAAAGGCTGCTGCATGGTAAGTCTCATCAGAGATGTCTTGGGAATCTCTCTTGCCCGTTGTACATTGTGCAGTAGGGAATGGAAATTTATTGCATTACAGGAACATTTTAAATGCTATGCCACTTGAGTCTCAAAATATATCACTGTGGGTCCTAACTGCCTGTGAGCTATCTGCTTTCTGATTGGAGCCCTAGAGGATACAAATTGTCCTTATTCACATTTGTACCTTCAGTACCTAGAGGTATAAAACTTGGAATGTGCATGTTGAGTGAATAAGTATCATGACAAGCCCTTAAAAGATAAATGAAGACTTGTAAAAGCAGACAGGTCCTGCTAGAATGTGAGGGTGTGGCCATTATACATTTTTTGAAGTAATTCCATTTGATTACATAATAGCACTGGAAACATAATTTGACACAAATTTTAAAAATGGTTCCAGACTAGTTGTTTTGAGTGACTTTGTGTTTTTGAAATTTCATGGAGATACGTTTGGCAAGTGGACAAAATGGGGAGGTCTGTCCTGGCATTTAATGGGCATAGTTTTCATGCTGTGTTACAGACTGAGTAGATAACAAGCTAAGGTCACAAAACAGTTTAATTCCTTCCACCAAGCCTCACTTAGGTTGCCCTGAACTGAGTTACTCATTGTTCTTTGTTCTTCAGGGACTCTTCTGAAATATGAGACAGTAAAAATCATCTTTTAATATACTCATTTATTTATGGAATCACAGCAAAAAGGAATGTAAACTATTTCTCTTTTGTTAATTCCATGAGGAATATTGGGACATGTTGTAGGAAGTCCTTAGGAACATTTCCATGGTGATGAGAGGGTAAACCTGTGTTGAAGCTCTGTTTTGAACAGAATTGGAAAAATATGATCTGATCTTTAACCTTGGGTTTCATTTTTTTCTGCAGTTACTGGAGCCTTTATTTTTCAGTAAAAGCATTTTTCTAAGTGGAAATTTTTAAGTTAAAGTATAAGATAAAACTGAATGTAGAAGAATGGAATAATAGAGCTGGGGCAAGAACTAACACAGAGCTAACACAGACATTTAAAATGTTATTTGTGATGTATTTATTTTAGTGTGACTAAATAATCAACATATAAAATGTGTGATTTCATATTTTGATTACATTCAACAAAACTGAAAAAGTGAGCAAATAAGGAAGTGCTACTGATTAATAGTATGAGTGTGGACAGTGTAGAACACCTAATGTCTTGAAAACCTTTAGATAAATAGCCAGGCATATCTATACGTGAATAGCCTTGGTTTGAGCTCAAGAAATCAGATTTATCTAACGGGGGATGGGAGATTGTGGGGGAATCCCAGCCTATACAAAATTGTTAAATAATGATAATAATAATAAATAAATAAAATGGGAAAAAAAGATCAGATTTGAGCCATTCCATTGCTTCCCAAAAACAGTAATAACTGCTGACACTTTCACAGTGGGAATTTTCCCTTTGGTGCTGTTCAGAAAAATCTTTTGCTCCTTACATTGTCCAGGTGTGTCTTTCCTCCTAATCCAGGCTATTTCTATGTGAGGCATCTCCATGTCCTGCTTGCCTCATGTCTTTTCCTTAAAAGGGCCAAGCTTAGTTGTCTGTCCAAAGTGCAAGGACATAAAAAAAAAAAAAAAAAAAGATCAGAGTTTGACTCACAGCTCTGCTATTCACCAACCACATGATCTCAGACAAGGAGTTTGTGTTCTCTTTTTCCAGCCAGGAAACATTTAAATTCCTTGTGGTAGCAGGACAGGAGTCAGAGGGTGGGTCACCCTAGGTCATGAGCACACAGGAAAACCTTGTGAGGTGGGAGAATGTCACGTGCTCCCCAATGCTGTAAGGATGAACACTTCCAATTGCATTGTTGAAACAGGTGCACCAAAGAGGTGGAGGCGTTCTTGTTTATTTCCAACACTCATTGTAAAGCCAGAGGGTATGAAAAAGTTGATACCAAGATATTTTAGGCTGCCAAACACCTGTCAAAGCTTTCTTTTGGGATTAATGTGTTTTAGGGTATTTTTTTTTAAAGATTTATTTTTATTATTTTTTCATTGCAAAGGCGGATATACAGAGAGGAGAGACAGAGAGGAAGATCTTCCATCCGATGATTCACTCCCCAAGTGAGCGCAACGGGCCGATACTATGCCGATCCGAAGCCAGGAGCCTCTTCCGGGTCTCCCACACGGGTGCAGATTCCCAAAGCTTTGGGCCGTCCTCGACTGCTTTCCCAGGCCACAGGCAGGGAGCTGGAAGGGAAGCGGGGCTGCCGGGATTAGAACCGGCGCCCATATGGGATCCCGGGCGTGCAAGGCGAGGACCTTTAACCACTTGCGCCACCGCGCCGGTATTTTTTTTTTTTTTTAAGATAATGTTTACATAGTTGATCAGAGTAGGAAGGATCCAGAGTTAGGGAAAAATGGATTATGATAATTGTTTCTGAATTTTCTAATTCTTCCTGTTTCTGTGGGGATGGGAGATAAGGGGAGAAGCCACACCCAGCATCCCAGTCTCCCCAGTACCCAGGGATGGGGAATGGCCATTAATATCCACCCAGGGTTCTGATGTGGCGCACACGCCAAGGGTTCTGCCCAGGTGGTTTTGATAGTTCTGAAATGCTGTCAGTTTCACTGATCCATGGATGAGGAAACCCTTCCAATGTCCATTCACTGACACAGTTGACTGAGTCTCCATTAGCCCAGATATTTGCTGTCATTGTTTGGCTGAGATAGTTGTAAAATTTGTTTTGCTCTCCTTCCTGTGCTACGGTACCTGATGTCCTCTGTAGGCCCCAATCAGCTGCCATATCTTCTGTGTGTACCAAGGCCTGCTGTTCAATATTTCCTCTTTTCCATTGAGGAGGACCAGTTCTCACACGTGGGCCCAAGGCACCAGGACCAGATACCTGGGCCCCACTGGTCTCGCTGCCCCCAGAACTCATGGACCTTGCACATACCTCAAGGGTAGGCCCAAGGACCTGGGCCAGGCAACCCAGGCCCTGCCAGACCCCTAACCCCAAGACTAATGGATCCAGCACCCACCATACAGGCAGGCTCAAGGACCCAGGTCAGGTGACCCAGGGCTTACGGATCCAGTACCCATCTAGCAGGTGGGCCCAAG